TCCTGGCAATCGGTGAACGGCTCCGAGACGCAGAGTCTCCCCTGTGCACAGGTGCTGGGGGCGGCGTGGGGAGTATCCTGGCTTCGCGAGGGTCAGCACTGGAGGATGCTTTGGCCTTGAGACCCTGATTCTTGAACTCGACTGTCTTTGCTTGGTCCTCCTTTTTCTGTTCGAGCTTCTTTTGCAGCTTGACTTTCTTCTCATTCGAGGTAAGCACGGGCTTCGTTTCCATCTTAACCAGACGCTTCCGAGCCCAGCGATCTAGTGCGTGGCGATCGAATCCAAAGAAAAGGGGGATAGTCGGCTGAATCTGATTCCCAATCAAATCCAGATCCTGAGAGTAACAGGTGTCCGTGGTGAAAGTAAAGGTAGCCCCGCTGGGCGCAGTACGATAGCAAATGTGTGTCTGGGCTGCGCCAGACAAAGCCGATGGCTACTGAAGGCGAAGGTGGAGCGGTTGCCGAACCCAATCAAGCATTTCTTGGGCAAGCCCCAAACGAAACTTTTTGTCCCGAGAGCCCTGAGGAGAAAATAAGGTGGTCCAGGCATCCTTGTCATACCTGAAAACGCACCCCCTATGCGAGCGTGAGTGGGTACGGCTGCCACCAAAGTTGTCAAAGGAGCGATTCTGAATAACCCAATGCTTGCAATATTGAAACAGCCTCGACGAAAAATCTTCTGGATGTCTTTGCATGTGTGAAACCCAACTAATAGCTGAATCCAAATGGAAAATAGCCCATGAGACCTCTTTGAACCCCTTGGTTTTGCGATTTCTGCGTAAACTGAATTGTTCGGGAGATTCCCCCGGGAGCCTTCTGAGTTTCAACATGATCCTGATACATTGATTCTGGGCCTTGGTAATCAAATCCGCCGTCGTCTTACAAGGGACCCAGGCAGCACCTCTGGAGCGGATAATCCCCCCCGCCATACAGTTAAGTTTAGAGAGACGTTTAGACATGGGGATTTGCTCGTTAATCAAGAACCTACTGTTAGCCCAAAAGGCTTTGTTGATCTGTGAAATACCCTGCTTGACATCTTCGTGACAGGAACCAGTGGCGGAGAGAATTGGACCCAGCACCTTGGCCTCCGGTACTACAGACCAAGTTTTCCCAAAGGGATCAGACCACTTGTATCCTTGAAAGAAGTAGGGGTAGGCCGGAAGGATTTCCCGATCGTCTTTGAGTTTGAGCCGATGTTCATTCCAGAGCTCCGACTCTACCAGTGCGGTCAGAGTTGCAAGGTCTTGTTCCGAGGACGCCACCACGAAGATATTATCTGACCAGCTGAGAAGAGCAATCCTGAAATCGAAGCCCAACTGCTCGCAACGGATAGAGATTCCCAAAGAAGAATGGGTGATTTTCTCCAGGGTGGAGGCGAAACAATCTTCTACGGAAACGCGCGCCAGTATGCATGCCGTCCCAGCTCCTTGCATCAACCCACGGTCTCTTTGGATAATCCCAGTGTTTGAGTCCAAAAGTGGGATGGAAACTCGAGGGTTCCTGTGCAACCTGATGCAGCCCACTGCTAAGAAGAGAGGGACTCCTCGTCCCAATAGACTCCGCAGGACTAATCCATAACGAATCTGGTCGTGGTGAGCTTTGATATCAGTAATCCCAACCATTCCTTTGTTAAAGTGATCTCGGCCATATTCTAAAATGTGATAGACACTCGTGTGAAGTTCCTGTAATTGTCCACCTTTGCTGAGCCCAAAAATCAGACCCTTGAGGCCTTTAGAATCAGTGTATGAATCCAGAACTGGCAGAATGGCCCTTGCCACATATGCGTGCCCAATCTTGGCAATTGCAGGCTGAGGAATGACAACTCTAGTTTGAGAAGGGGTTCCAAAACCCTTGATCTTGTTACCCAGGTGGCCCCCGAATGTGACGTCGTTCCAAAATTCGGGGTCGCCTAAGCAGGCCTGTATACACCCCGTGAGCCTTTGGGACCAGCCCGAAGCTTTTACTACAGCCGTACAGGCGAACTCTGTGTCGATCTTTCGGGGGGCCTTGATGTCGTCCAGCGCGTCCTCCAGCAAGGAGGGAATGATGGGGTCGCCGTAGAAGTTGAAGAAACCCAAAGCGCGAAGCCAGGCGATGTCCTCCTGCCGCTCCGATTCTGAGAGTCCCCACCTCTCGCTGTATTCTTCAGCAACCAGTGTGGTACAGCGGTCCACTTCAAAAATCTTGACTTGATCTACACAGAAACCCAATATGGGTAGGAGAGACTTGCGGGAGGCCCAGACCCGTTTTCCTTGAGAGGCGTTGAGCGCAACCTGAGCCAAATCGCGTTGAAGTTTAGTTATCTTAAGAGCTTTCAAGAGGAGCTGACCCAAGGCGACCCTCGTGGCTTCGTTAAGTTCGGAGTTGAACCGTGTCCTGAGACTCTTGACCCAAAATGGCTCTTCGGCAAATCTCCTAAAACTCCTTGGGAGAGCCTGAGTCGCTTCATAAACCTGGCCCAACATGTTTTCCCAGAAATCAAAGGAGAGGGTGAGGTCCCTTGGATCATGATACCTGACCGCACATGAATCGGGCTGTTCTTCGTCATTTAGACGAATAAGTTCCGCTGATTCGGGAAACAGACCCTGGGCGATCTTCCTAACCTCCAAAATGTTTGTAGGAGTCCAAGGAGAGGTCTTCTCTTACGAACCTGCTGGTGAAAGGCCAGGACATCACAGCCAATAAGGGCATGGTCCCCAGGGACGCCCGCCCAGCAGGCGAAACAGTCGAAAGAGAGATCACTCCTGGCGAGAGCAATGTGATCGATCGTGCTGTTGGCTTGAGAGAGCGCCTGCTCACCATCGGGCTTCCTAGTGAATTGCATGGAAGTCTCTTGGAACCTGAGAGGGCACCAATGGAGATCGAGATAAGAACAGGCTTCGCAGAACGATCGGAATTTCTGGTCTCCGTTACCTTGATCGGCATTCATGTCCCCCAACCAGGAGAGAGTAGACCCCACAGGGCGGGATCGACCGAGTTGGATGGCACAGTTTAGAGAATCATGGAAAAAATCATGGGCAAGATGAGAGAAGAGAAAGGATCTGGCATGATGGTGGCATCCATCGAGACAGTCAGGACGAAGATCAACACGGATAGATCTCCAATCGCAGACAATGTCTTTCACACGTTTTCTCAGAGATTTGTGCACAAGCACGCCCATGGCCCTACACCCAGGGCCAGAGTGATGGCGGTAGTAAGCGTGGCCATTGAAAACAGGGCGTAGTAGCCCATCGTTTTGAAGGCAGCCCTTGAAATCCGCCTCTAAGATACAAATTAAGCCCCAGCACTTCAGCTCGAGCAAATCTAGGTTGGCTTGCATTTGAGTCTCGTCGGCCCACTTGCCCTGCACATTGAGTGCACAAACGAGACCCCTCACGTAGGCATCTCAGAGAGAGAGTGCCTCGTCGATGGTGTCTTTCAGCGTCTTGCGGAGCGCTTCATCGGGGATCTCCTTGAGAGACTCGTGCCACTGAAATTCCCCATCCTTGATAACACCTATCTGATGATCCAAGACGAAAAATTTTCGAGTCCGAGAACAAATCACGTAACTGTCTGTGCGATCTCCCATTGCCTTTTCCAGTGCACCTGAAACTGTCTTGAACAATTTTGCTGGGCCCCGCTCCTCCTTAGTACTGATCTGTCCACACCAGATCAAATTTTCCAAGTACCCAGGGATCTTGAGATCACGGATCGTAGCTGCCGCTTGAAGTCCCACGGCAATCGAACTCCATTTGATCTCAACGCAACTCCCATATCCAAATGGTGCAACAATATGCGTGGGCTGGGGAACGTCCGCTCGGCGAAGGATCGCCCGCGCCTTTTCCAGAGCCTCCTGCTTCTTGAGATTCCAGCCCAAGTTGGTGAGAATGAAGATGTCTCTATCTGCTCTTGGGGTGCTGGCCCATGGCGGACCCTTTTTCCTGGAGGAACCCTGGCTTGACTGGCTTTCTAGTTGTTTGGCTGCCATTTCCGCGCGCAGGGACTTCTGCTCCAGTTCGACAGCCAGAATCCTTTCGTTGAAGGCTTTCTGCAACTCGGTCTCACCTGCCTCAAGGTTGGCAAGCTTTACTTCGTGGTCATTGATCAAAGTGACGGCTACTGAGAATTCCTGAGCCAACGCCTTTTGAGTTCCCAATACGTCAAGTTGTAACGAATCGATACGGTCCTTGATGGGAGCGATCTTTTTATCTAGAAGCGACTCGAGTTGTACCAAAAATCCGTCAGCCCCTGTGGCTGTCGAGACAGCCCCTGAAGAAATTGAACCATTCTCTCCCAGGCCTGTACCCTTAGCAGAACCCTTGGCCGCCAGTGTTCTCATAGCCTTCGAGGCCTCTTGCTGATTTTCTTTGTCTTCGTCTACCATCCGAGCATCGTTTCTCAGTCTTTTCTGCTTGTCGATATCTAAAGACAAGAGCTTTTGCATGGTTTCTCCAATCTGCAAAGTCGGCATGGCCGAAAGTGTAAGCACGAGCCAGTTACCCAGAATTTGAGATGGAAATGAAGCGCCGAATTGACAAAACCCAACAAATTCGCGAATTCGCCAAATTGAGTAGATATCCCACCAATGAAAGTGATATCCCACTGATAAATCTCACTGATTAAACCCAAATTGAACCAATCTCGCTGGCCCTGAAGAAGACGAAGGCAGCGATGGCTGCCGCGCCCCCGCGGCGGCGCACCCCCCCCCCACACGCTAGGCGCCTGTGAGAGCCAACGCCTTGAGCCTTGAGCCTTGAGCCAGGCGACACCCCTGCGTTGAAGCCCCAAACGGCCTGGTCTTGCTCCTGTTCTTGCTCTTGCCGCGGCTCTTGCCCCTGCCCTTGCGGCGGCTCTTGCTCCTGTCGCGGTCGCCGCGCGAGCGGCACCTGCTGCGGTTGGTGTCGCGACGTCTGTCGCGGCGTCTGCTCCCGCTGTCGCGCCTGCTCCTGCTGCGCCTCCCCCTCCTCCTGCGGCTGCCTGCGGCTGTCAGACCTGCGCCTGCGGCGCCGCCTGGATCTGGACCTGTCGCTCTTTTCGCTTCTGTCGCTCCTGTCGCCGCCGTGCTCTGCGACGCCCGTCGAGGCCGCTGCCCGCGCGCCGCTCTGCTTCGCCTGCGTCCTCTTATCGGTGCACAGCTCGTTGCGCACTGCGGCCTCCGCTGTCTCGCTCCAGGCCGCCTCTAAATGCGGCCTGTGCGTCCACTCCCCGAGATCGCGGTTCCACCTCTTATCCTGCACATTCTCTTCGATCTGTTTCGCGTCGAAGCCATCGTGCGCCCACTTCCTCAGCGGAAGGTGCTTGCCACCCTTGAAGACGCGCTCCTCCTCCATCCGTTGGACAGTGATTGAGCTGACCACGAAGGCTTCCATGCGATCGAGGTTCGACAGCCCAGGATCTGCTGCCAGATCTTTGTAGAACTGCTGCTTGAACTCACTCTTCATTTTAGCGAAACACTTTGGCGGCCACTGTCCGAACCTCCGAGAAGGGCGCACCCCGTTCGTGTTGCACGCGTCGCACTGGTAAGTCGACTGAACCTTCGCTCTGATCCTGTAGTTGCACTCCTTTGCCGTGCGACAGCAGCGGCTGCAACGCACGATCGCGCCATCCCCGATGCCATGCACCCCTTCGAACTCCCCATGCCTGGCGACTGCCTGCTGGCGGATCACCCTCCGACTGTTCGTCCTGGGCTGCCTCCTCCTCCTCCGCCTGCGGCGCTGCCGCCTCGGGCGAGCGCTCTTCACCCTTATATGCGGCATCGGGCGAGCGCCTCTCAACCTTGGCTACCACGTCCTGCGGTGGAGCCTCTTGCTCCTCAAGTTCATGCTTGGCACTCTCTAGCTCCTCCTGTTTGACGCCGCGCTCGGAACCAATCTCGTCGCCGCGCTCCTCGGGGCCCGATGCCGCCTCTGGCGCTGCGTCGTCTGGCTCTGGCAAGTCCGCCGCACCCTGCGGTTCAACCGGCTCGGCTGGCAAACCCGCCGCGCCCTGAGGAGGCAGTTCCTCGGCGGGGGCTGCGTCTGACGCAGCTTTGCGAGAAGTCCTCCTCGACGCTGCGGGGTGGTTGCCTTTGCCCTTGCCTTTGCTTTTCCCGCGCGCCTTCGGCGGTCCTGCATCGGCCAATGAGGGCGGCGGCACAGGCTTTCCAGCCAGTGTCATCTGCGCCCCCGCTGGCTTAGCTTTCCCACGGGGCTTCGCTGCGGGCGCCTTGGTCATCCCTCCCTGGTTTCTTCGGCCTGCTGTTGCGAACATCCGTGCCGAAGACTGCTGCTGGCGATGTTCAGCGGGCGGCATTCCCGCCACCGGCGGCGCGGCCGCCTTGACGCGCGAGAAGCCGCGCGCGACGCTACGCGCGAGGGCCGCGCGCGAGACCGCGAAGATAGACGGAAGCCGCGCGTCGCGCGCGGCCGCGTGCTGTCGAGAGAAATGTTGCCAAGATGAGATGGACGCGAAGCGATGACGAAGAAAACGCGCGGTAAGCGAGGCGGGCTAGCCGCCAGCGGACTAGCCGCTTCAAAGGTGGAGGGGGGGGGGGGGGGGAGGTATCAAAGGGGCGGCATGTCCGCCAGCGGAACGCCGCTTGAGAAGGTGCAGGGGTGCGGCGAGGGAGGCGGATTGGCCGCCAGCGGACTAGCCGCTCGAAGCGTGGCGGACGCACGAGGTGATACGGATGCTGAAATGAATTGTGCGTAGCATGCCAACCACACAACATGACATCATGTTATCATATGTTATCATATGTTATCAGGCGTGTGATAACACCATGATAACACCTGCTAACCTGCGATAACATGTTATCAGGTGATATCATGTGTTATAAGATGTTATCAGGCGCGTGATAACATCTGATAGCATATGATAACACCCGACGTGTTTTTGATGCACAAGCATGACTGCATCTTTTTTACATTGGCGGCGTAGCGGAACGCCCGCAGAGGTCGCGAAGCGAAGCAGCGGAAGGCGGAACGGCGCCCTGTGCCACCAACCGCGGAAGGCGCCCCGTGCTACCAACCGCGGAAGGCGAAGAGACGGGCGAGCGCACGCGAACGGAGCGTGCTGCCTGAGCGGCAGCATATGCAAGGCGATGGGGGGGTGGGCGGACATGGCGATGCAGCACACCCAAAAAAAAACCGCACTCATTCTTATGCGGATGCAGTTTTCTCCATCCAACCCTTTTACCCAATCCCATCCACCCGCTCCGTTCGTCCACCCGCCTCCCTATCGCCTTGCATTGGGGCACGGCTACTCGGTCGGTTGCATGGCCAAAACTGGCCTCGGCGTGGCAGCTTTCACGAATTGAGTGCGGATGGAGTGTTTGGGGATGCCCTAATTTGTTCTGACACAGGGATGCGTATTGCTATTACTTTGGAGGAGCGGGAGGGGGGCTTGTAGGGTCGACGCGTCGCGCCGCCTGCGCGAATGAGGCAACTGATTCTTAGGCGACATGAGTGCGCTGATAGCGTCCTACGCATCCTCTGCAACGGACCACCTGGGTCCGCAACGAAGGCGCAGCGCTGCCAACCGCGTGCCTGCGCCGCACGAGGAGGCCACTACGAGGTCGCGTTGCGCACCAGCCAGCTCGCGAGCACGTCCTCGCACTAGGCGATGCAAGCCTCCTCTTGGCGGAAAGCGTTCAACGCGCGCTCCGCTATCTGGCCGCGCAGTTGCGTCGCTGTACGCGCGCGGCGCAACGAGTCGAGCACAGCCTGGCACTGGGTTCCGTTGAGCACCACGATGCTATCGGGTGACATCTGGCTGGCCAGCGCCGTGGACATCCTCATGCCCGCCGCGGCCGCGGACGAAGAGCCGCCTGGAGGTCCGCTGCCGTCCGCGAACGCGCCCTGCAGCTGGTTCGAGCGCTCCGCGCGGGATTGTGGAGCGATTGTCGACAGCTCGACCTCCGGCGCCCTCTTGCGCCTTTTGGAGGCGCCCCAGTTGGACTTCTCCTCCTCCCAGGCGCGCCGCTGCGCGAGGTCGACTTCCCGAGACTCGGGATCGGCGCGCTGAGCCGCGGCCTCCGCGTCGCTCTCGCTCATGCCGTGGTACGGCGACACGCGAAGGTGGTTCGCAAGTTTCTCTCTGGCCGCCTCCTCTGTCTCTGCGCTGAACCACTTGCATCCATTCCGGCAAAGGCTGGATTGTGGGCACTTGAAGCCGAACATGACGCATGTCTGCTGGTTTTGTTGGCCTGCCACGGCAGCGGCGCCGACGAGCCGCGAACCGCGGCTAGCACAGAAGCCGCTGAGCCGCGAGCCTGTGCGCGCCTAGATTCGGGCTGATACAGCGTCCCAACAACAGAAAAGTACAGCTGCGGGAGGCGCGGTGGCATCGCAAATTTCGGGATGACAGCAGGCGACGGCGGCGGCGGTTTAGCCGCCAATGGAGGGCTCAGGGCGGTTTGGCCGCCAATGGAGGGCTCAGGGCGGTTTAGCCGCCAATGGGGGCTCAGGGAAGGACTGTTTTTTTTTCCAACCGCATAGAACAAACCCGATGCTCATCTGCACGGCGGTTGCCCGCCAGGCGGGGAGAGGCGGCGCGTCCGCCAATGAGATAGGGAATGGGTGCTCGCCCCCGTGGCAAGACTGGAGAGTGGGAAGAAAATGATGAGGTCCAGCTATCCGCGCTCGAATTACGGAAGCTATGCACCTCAGCTCGCCAGCAGGTCCACGCGATCACCCTACAAGTAGACAGCTGAGCGGTTCGCGGCGGGCGTCGGCATCGGCTTCGCTGGCGTCGGTGCCAGCTTGCTTGTCGGCTGCAGCCGATTCTTTGTCTTCGGCTGCACAATGCTGGTCTTCCCTGCTGGCGGCCCCAAGGTCTTCGGCGGCCCCATGCTTGTCTTTGGCGGCGGCGGCCCCATGGTCTTCCGCGGCGGAGGCGGAGGCGGAGCTGGAGGCTTCATCTTGCCAGTGGCCCTTCACGGCGCCTGCTGAGGCTGCGCCTTAGGCAAGCTCGGCGCAGACGATTGCTCGCGCGGCGTCAAGCGAGGCCTGGGGACGTGCGCCTCGCGCACCCGCGGCGCTGCCTTGACGCCGTGTATCTTCGCAAACACGTCGCGCTTTGCGCCGCCTCGGTCCCCCCAGCGCTTCGCCTTGGCGCGCCGCGCCTGGCCCTGCCACGTCTGCGGCCCGCCCATGGCGGGGCCAGGCGGGCCGCGGTCGCGGAACTTCTTGTAATCGTACTTCGCCTGGTACTCCTTGAGCACGGCGAGCACGTTCTCCGACCGCCAATCGATGGGATCCCCAACGGGATCGCTCAGCCATGCTCGCAGCTGCGTCCTGAACGCCTCCGCCGCTGTGGAAGGCGCCTCCACCGCCTCGGGGTGCCCCTCCACCACAGGCGTCGCGTGGCGCATGCGCGCCGCGAGCTCCTGCGCGAGAGCTGAGGGCGGGGTGGCGCGGATGGGCCGCGGCCGCGGGTCCCGCGGCGGCGACGTCGGCCCCCGCTTGCGCGGCGACGTCTTCGGTGCCCGCGGGCTGCGCGATCGCGCTGGCTGCGCCGCCAACGTGGGCGCGCTGGCTGGCTGACTGCCGATGGCGGGGGAAGACCGATCCCCTGCGTTGTTGCCCACGCCCGCAAGGTCGGAGAGCAACTGCATCGCTGGCCCGCACATCTCCTGCGCCGAATCGCCAAGACAGTTCGACCGAGGGCGGCCAGCCAGTTTCGCGCGCGATGCGCGCGTCCCTGGCGACTGCACGCGGGGCCAATTGTTTTGGCGATGTCGCTGCCTCCAACGCTTCGAACGCGATGCCGCTGTCTGCCATGGCCGCGGCCGCAATGCGAGGCGCCGAGCGCGACGCGGCGGCTGCGGCGCAGCCTCGGCGCGCGGGCCCCAGACCCCGCGTCGGCGCGAAAGAAGGGGCAGACCCCGCGCGAGCTCGCGGGTGCCCGCGGGCCGCGGGCTTGGACCGCAATGGAATCGGACGCGGAAGCGAGACTTCGGGAGGAGGGGGAGGGGGGGCATGGAAGTTTTGGAGCTCCTCAAGCCATCGGGAGCGTCTCAGAAGGGCCCCGCTGGTTCTTGCGACGGGGCCTCGGGGGGAACGGGGGGGGGGGGGAGGGGGCGTTCTGGCAGAGTGAGGGTGGCACTGGGCACCAGAAATATAAGTGAACCGGCGTTCCTTTGAATGTGCAGGTCTTGGTTCACTTGTTTTCGTCGTTTAAAGGGCGGTGGTAACGTCAGTACCTTCGTGCGCGCCCAGGCCATTCTGGGTGGACGCCTTCGCCATTCGAGCAGCGGGCGTCTCCCCGACGTTAGTTGGCGTGGGGACCCGTGCCTGACAGCGGGGAGGGGGGCGCAGGGGCGCGGCGCGGGGGCGCGGAGAGGGTCGAGTAGGGGAGGGGGGAGGAGCGCAAAGGGGTAGGGCGGGGGCGGCACATCCGCCGCGAGTTGGAAGGTGAGAAGGCCGAGGGAAAGACTCGAATCGAGCTTTGTTTCTCCCGAGGCCGCCCCGTTGGCCTGGAGTGTTGAAGAGTCGTGGCGCGAATTGCTCGCCGCGCGCCCTGGCGGCGAGCTCCTTCTTGACCAGCTCCTCCGCCTCCACGATGGCCCTGGCCTCGGAGCGATAGGGCGCAACGAGACAGCAGGGGCTGGAGGGGGCGTCGAGGCAGGGCCGAACATGAGGAGAGCGCGGAGGAGGGCGTCGAGAAGGGCGTCGGTGAGAATATGGCCTTGCCGGCCGCGTCGCCCGCGATGTACCCCAGGCTGACGTTGCTGCCTGGGGCGCCGATCCTGCCGCTGCGGAACTGCACCTGGGGGGCGGAGCAACGATGAACAGTCGCCCGAAAGGCGGCGGGCGCGCAAGCTGCGATCCAGGCGGAGCTGCTGGGAATCGCCGCATGCGCCCGACGCCTCATCAGTGGGAGGTTCAACCCCGCTCGCCAAGTTGCGCGTGGTCTGCATGTCCCACCTCGGCTTCGCCCACTTGGGCGAGGGCCTGTCCGTGCTGGGCGTCGACGGCGACTTGCGCTTCTTGCCCTTCTCAGCCGCGCCGTCCGTCTTC